GGGGGGGGAAGTAGTAGCTGTGGAAAGGAAGCTGTGGTCAAAAGGGGATAAGTTACTATAGCTCTTCTGCCTGCCATGAACACAGCCTTTGTGTGAAGCTGAGAGAAGATAGATTGGGCAGGGTGTGCTTGTGTTTTAAAATTATAAAACCATGAGAAAAAAACAAAACAAGTCTGATTTTCCTGTCTTTTCCTTTAGCATCTTTAAATGTATGATGATTCTTGCCATGTTAGGTTGAGTCATGGTTCATCTAAACTGTTGTTCTGTTTGGGTAAGAGCAGATAGAGATTGTTTAGGGAGAACTGTGAGAAATGCAGTGCATTTAGACGGAGCTTTCTCCTTATCTTTGATTGTTTAGGGAAGTGCTGTTGTTCTGTATGATAAAATAATAAATTCAAGATCTTCACAAAAGATGATTCACCGTCTGTGTGAGATGTCAGATATTTTGAAGTGTTTTACTTTGTTATGGGATAGCTATGTATATTTTCTTTACTAAGCTGCGTAGTTACTTGTTAAGCATTTTAAGAAAAGAGTTAACACAATATAGAAATTGCCTGTAAAATTGGGGAACAAGTTCTTTGTGGTTTTCAAAAAAAGTGATGGGCTTAATAACAGACTCTTCATGTCATAAACATCATTGTGAGTACAGAAATTAGTTCACTAACTTTCAAAGCTGCAAATTAATCTAGAATTGCCATCTGATCATGTTGGATCTCTCAAAAAGTAATTAATTGTAAAGTTTGTTAATTTCAAATCTGGAATACAGTTGCTCTAGACGTAACCTCAAATTGTTTTGATAACACCAGCAAGAACGTCTTTATGGCCAAGCCTATTCTCATGCATGTGGTTATTCAAGATACTCTCCTAGAAATCATTGTAATATTTAATTAAAATGTTAAAATATTTAATTACTGTAAACCACAGGGGATACCAAGGCTATAATTGCATTTAAGATGAGGAAGAAGAGTAATTTGTTTTTCAACTCTTCCTGACATTATTAACAGTGGCATCAGCACTTTACCCTTTTTATTGTTAAAAACTGATTAACTGCAGCATTACTGTAAAATGAGATAATATAAAAAGTTAATATGCATTTTAATACATCACATTAACACTGTGTGACAGTGTTAAAAGGAATGTCTTTAAACACATCTGTAAATTTATTTGATACATTACTGCCTTTTTATTTGGAGGAGTGGTTTCTTTTCCTGTTCAGCATGGTTGGCTTTTTATTTGTTTTGAGCTTTTATGATGGGCAGAAATGTTTCTTCTGAATAGTTGCTTGGAAGAATGACTCAAGTGGGAGAATTATGAAATCCAGTATGAAATCATCCAGTAGTTTTTAAAGATTATTAGTCTGACTGTCTGACAGCCAGAAACCTATTTGGGAGTGTCATAAATTGGATTACACTATGGAATTGGTCTTAGGAGAAAACAGTAATAAAAAAAGTAATAAATAATGGGCAAAAAATAGCAGGGCTTTTTTAAGCATTGTGTAACTTCATGGCTTTTAATTTATATAAAAACATTTGCTCGCTTGCCTTAATTAATGTTGCCAAATGTACCCTAAAGCAATTCACAGCTGCATTACAAGCTGTATCTCAGACAGAAGGTCAGGGGAATAAGTTTGGAATTAAACCTGCATGGTCTGACTTGCCAGGACCTCTGCTCTCAGCTGATGAAGGGCTCTGGCCTGAGAGGTAAGGTACAAAATGTTTCCTTCTGGTTCCTGGTTTGCTGGGTGTGAAAGGAGAGGAAGAGGCAGCTACCAGAAGTTGATCTGATAATAATCCTGTGGTCGTGGTGTTGGAAGACAAGGAGGAAGGGTGCCAGAGATCCTGTATTCTAGAAAGACTGGACTACCTGTTGTCCTACACAGTTGGCATTGTGGAACGGGAGAGCATCTTCCCTTCTTCAGTCTGCGTTCACCAAGGAGACAGGAGAGTACAAGGCAGGCTGTCGATGAGGGGGGTGTACAAACGTTTTGGGAGACTAATTTAGCTAGGCTTCCTCTGTTCATTCCTAGCCAAGAAGGAGGGAAGCTCTTCTATAAAGGGTGGTTCAGAATCAGCCTAAACCAGCTGCTTTAGAAAAGTTTCTCTTGTTCTCTCAGTTAGAGAGGAAGTCCAGGCATATTGGCCTCCCAAAGGTGAGTTTAGTCTTTCTAAGTGTCTCCCTCAGGGCTGAGCCATTGCAGTGAAACTCAGCTTTCTGGTTGCTTATGCTAAGCAGGGCTTATCAAGCAAATTATGGCTGAATAGTTCAAGGTATTAGTATATACCAACATGGACAGATATTACTGGTTTTGGAAATTACTGCTAAGAAATGCACATTGTGTTTCTGAGTGGTTTGTCTGTAGGCCGTTTTGACACTTGGAAGTTGTAAAGAATTGTTATTTTCTTTAAGTGCAAGGATTGGTGCTATTTCAAACAAAAAGAAACCCTAAAACACATGAAGAAGCAACTGACAAATAAAAACAAAACTACAAAAAAAAAACCCTCGAAACCTTCACTTTTTATCTTGTAACTCCTTTTTTCATTGTGGTAAAGTCAGTTTGTAAATGAGCTCTGACTTTTTGTGGTTAGACATACATTGTGTTAGCACATAAATCTTAGTTTAGGCAGAAGAGGAACTTTGGACAAAGATTCATACTCATGTCCCAGAGAAATTCAGAAAACTACTGGTGTTGCTAATTAGGTTTGATGTAAATACTCATTTCAAAGCTCACATCCATGTAAGGCTTCCTTCAGTTACTTGGTATGTACTGATGGGGTTTTTTTCTGCTACAGTGAATTTACCTAGAGAAATATTCTTTTTTTAACCCAGAAAGAACTCTGCAATATGATACTTGACTGCTGTGCTCAGCAAAGAACATATGAGAAATTCTTTGGGTTACTGGCAGGGGTGAGTTGTATTTCAGGTTTTATACTTTATGATAGAAAATTGCATTGTTTTACTCTGTTTTTTGTGTGTCAAACTTAAGTTTTAATGGATGAATAAAACTAATAGTCTTTTTATCATTCTAAAAATGCTTATGTTAGTTGATTGTTTTAGTAGATTGAATTAGCACTTTGTAAAAAGCATAGTAAATGCAGAATGAGAGAACTCACTTTCCCTTTATATTATTGCTTATTTTGCCTCCCTTTTTTCTCATTATGGTAGAACAATAAATCAGTGGCAAAGAAATGGTACTAAAAAGACATAATAGTATTATGAGTTATCAAAAAATAGCCTTTTTACAGTGCTGAAGATTAATCTTGGAGACATTTACCACCTTGTTCAAAGCTGCTTAGTAGGTTTAATTTAGAGTGCAAGATTGAATACTTACTGTCCTGGGCTTGGGGGTGTTTTGTTTGCTCTTCAATAAACAGCTAACTCTCTGGTTTTGTGTATCTAACTGCTAATTTAGCTGCAGTTATTTGTTACTTAAGGTTTCCCTATCAATAATATTGACATGTCTGAAGAGTTAAGATTAAATACTTGTCTTCTCAAGGGAGCAAGCTGTGCTGAAAGGGAATGTTGCTTCTCATTTGTATTTTTCATCCATTATTTCGGGAAATTCTTTTACTGGCAGTCAGTTACAAAGCACTAACCATATGAATCTGCATGTTCAGATGACTGTAAATGTTGATTTTTGTATTCTCTAAAATGTTTATGTCCAAAACGTCTTACTTTTGTTTCCTGCTGCCTGTTCTAAATTGAAACAGTCGTTGGTGATGTCCTGAAAAAACATGGGGTTGTATCAGGTGAAAATACTTAATGTATAGAAGTCAAGCAAAATGCTGGCTAATTCTCTGTAGTTCAGAATTGATAATTACTACTTTGCTATGCAAATGAATTTCTTGTCCTGACAAACTGCTCAAAGCTATAAAATATATCCATTTTGAGTGTTTGCTCTTCCTCCAAGGGCTGTTTATAATAGAAGTCTGGCAGTAAATATTGACACCATTAGGTCACTTAGTTGTAGGTTATTTGCATGTTTAGTGTTTTGTTTAAAGTGGTGGTTTAAATTGTCCCATGTTATCTCAGCGTTTCTGCATGCTAAAGAAAGAATATATGGAGTCCTTTGAAGCCATTTTCAAGGAACAGTATGATACCATTCATCGTCTGGAAACCAACAAACTGAGGAATGTGGCCAAGATGTTTGCTCATCTCCTGTACACTGATTCAATTCCCTGGAGTGTAAGTTAAAACAAAAAGCCATTGTCCTTGATCTCCAGTACTCCACAGTAGCATCGTACATTAATTCTAGTATTATTCTACAGTTTGTAATGACTTGTGGCAAACTGGATTATCTTAAGTAACTTCTCAGACACTGTTGAAGAATTCTGGTTTGTTCCATCTCCTTTTTCTCTCTATTGTATGTCATCATCCTCTCTCCCCATTTTTCAGTAGTTGATTTAAGCTATTATTTTAGGGAGTTCAGCTGGAATTTGTTAATTAAAAAGTACTTCTTTTGGAAAAGAGTTTTGAGCTTCTAAATTTTGATAAATTAGAACTTGTATTGAAATATAAGACAATTAAAAATATTGTAATTTTATGATTTAAATACCTAATAAATAAAAGCAGTCTCACATTCCAAGATATATTATTATATAGAAAGGTAACTTCTCATATTGTTTTATTCTTGTTTCATAGCCTAGTCTAACTGTCATTCTTCAAGCACACATAAGTTAGACCAAATAATTTACCTCTCCTGTATTTAAGTCCCAAATCTCTTAACTTGCTGGAAGTTCATGCATCTGATTTTGTCTTGTGGAGCTTTCCTAAATAAAAAATAATCCTTAAAGAATTACTAATATAAATATGATCACCAGCTTTTCTACCATGTGGTAGAAAAGAATTTTTGAGAAAAACAGTCTTGACTAGAATTTATGAACTTTGGGGGAAAAAATAACAGTTTTTATTAGTTATTTCAGGAGGACAAAAGTTTCTAAGATAAGAAAAGAATGTTACCTTAAAGGTTAATGATTTTCTGAATATTTTCAGGTCCTTGAATGTATAATATTGAGTGAAGAAACTACCACATCCTCCAGTAGAATTTTTGTCAAGATATTCTTTCAGGAACTCAGTGAATATATGGGACTTCCAAATTTGAATGCAAGATTAAAAGATGTGTAAGTTGAAACTTTATTTTCAAAACTGCAAATTTAATTAGGTTGTTTATCTGAAAACATACAGATGAGAACTGTGTGTTCAGCTTCAAGTGAGGCTGCCCTTCTGTAGCTGCAGTACTTCAGGAATAAGTTCATGTATAGATTTAGTCATTTTAAGGAGTCACTTTTGAAGCTGAGTGCATTGCTGTCATTTTGGGTTCAAGTGCGTGCATGACTCTTTGCAAGATGTATCTGTTCCCCCTCCACCCCCAGTGACACTCAGCTACCATAACAATTTCCAAGTGTGAGTTTATTTTTATATATTGTCTGCAGTATAGCTGTGTAATAAATGTTACTGGGGCTTCTCTTTCTGACAAAACTTAGAAAAAACCACACAACTATTAGTAAGAGTTTCTTTAGGATTACTTACTAATCCTTAAATGTAGTATACATAACAGTATTTTAAAACTGTATGGGATTTAATGTGTTACATTCTGACAATGTTACTTGTACTTGCTTGACCTATTTCTTCTAAGTTGGGATTTCTTCTGTGTATGATGAGGAATTTGGTAGATACTTTAGTTCATGTAAATTTAAATTTGAAACTATCCCTAAGGCCCTGTATGAGGGGATTTCAGTATGGATCCCTAATCTTTGAACTGTTATCTTTTGCTATCCCACGCTGCTGCAGTTCCACAAGTCACTTCAGGGCTTCACGGAGTTGGGGTTTCTGTCATCATTATCTGTCAGTATGTATGCAGCTCTCCTATGTGTGAAGTTTATGTTGTCATAAGAGAGCAAGTTTTTAAATAGCATTTGATTGGATGCATCACAGGTACAAACAATGAAAGTGTTGAAAAATGCATGAAGGGAAAACTTTTGCTTTCTTGTGGAGATTCATACAGTTTATTTTTCAGTTTCTTTATGTCAGTGGGAGTGCTGAGCTGGCATGGTGTTTAATATAGATGTTTGTTTTCATCAGGACACTGCAGCCTTTCTTTGAGGGATTAATGCCTCGGGATAACCCAAGAAACACTCGCTTTGCCATCAATTTCTTCACTTCCATTGGCCTTGGAGGACTAACGTGAGGAACAATTTTCTCATTCGATATTTACTTCATCTTCCCTCTCCCCATAAAAAAAAAAAAAAAAAAAAAAAAATTTTTTTTTTTTTTTTTTTTTTTTTGCTAATTAGGGATGAATTACGGGAACATCTTAAAAATGCACCAAAGTTGATCATGACACAGAAGCAAAATGTTGAGTCATCAGATTCCTCCTCATCTTCAGACACAGACTCTTCCTCAGATTCTGATTCTGACAGCAGCAGTAGTAGCTCAGAGTCATCGAGCAGCAGTGACTCCTCATCTAGCAGTGACAGCAGCAGTGACTCAGGTATTTAAACACAAGAGTACGACTATTTGCTTTTCTTTTAGTTCTTTCTCCAGATATGCTTATTACTCTTTCTGTGTATACTTCTTTTGGGGAAAATCTGGCTATAGACAGTGGTCATTTCTCTCGTTTAAAAACTAATCAATTTTATTTCTCAAGGAAATTTGTATTTGAATTTGTACTCAGAAAAAATGAGTTCCATTTTTAGAGGCTTAAATATTTGAGAAATGTTGGTTTCTAGATTACTTTTTTTACACAATTGATATCTGTTGCACTCTATGACTTCAGTTTATGGAGGATTGAGGGATTAGAGTCAATACCAGTTATTTTCTCTGTGATTATTGATGAACCGTAGTGATTCATGTCTACAACTCTTTTTTTCTTGGCGTAATTGAGTGAGCTTGATAGTTCTTGTGTCTTTCCCTGGAAATATGTGCTTCTTCCTTCTTCCTTCCAGAAATCAGTTCTTCAGTTCTAGAAATGTGTTTAAATATTGTTCTCCATCTGAGTCCCTATTTCTAATTCCTCTGCTTCAGGAAAAGATTGTGTGACAATATAGTGAAAGTTCTTGTCTGTAGAGGAATTTCCAAGGAAGAATTAGCTTTTTCTTATAATTTATTTTGTATTTTTATGCATTATAATTAGCATTTAGTGTCTCATGCTGTTGTGCTGATGTAGAAACTTCTATTAGACATGAACTGTCATAAACATTGCTTAATCTTTAAAGTAGCTGCTATTATGAGTTAGTGTGTGCAGCCTCCCCCAGTATATATAGCAGGAGCAGATGATAGCACAGCATGACTTCCTGTAGCACAGAAGTTTGCTGATTCAAAGTTAATTTGATTTATTGCATGTCTTTGAAATTAAAATGATGAATAAAATAAAAGCAGTGTGAGCTGCTCCTGCTTTGGAAATGCAGTTCTGTTCTCCACCACAATCTCCTGTCCAAGGTGGAGCTGTGTGCCATGGCTAACAGCATTAGTGACGACAGCACGAGAGGAGGGGATAGCCAAACGGGGTCAGAGAAGGCACTGGTTCAGCACAGGGCCAGATGGTCCTGCAGGGACAGCTGCAGCTCTGCTGAGCTGCTTGATAGGAACCAGAGGGGTCAATCCTTAGTGACAAACCAAGTCTGCAGTCTGGGAGTAGAAACAGTTTAGGACCTTCTCTTTTACTACTTGCCTTTTCTCCATTGAGGAGCACATTCATTAAAATTCTCATCTTGATACCTTTGCAGCCTGCTTTCACTTCTCAGTTTCTTGTGTACTTTAATGCAATGGTCAAAACACTAATTGGAGATAACAGTAAGCTTTAATGGTTAACTGGGTTGAGGTTCTATTACTGGTTATAATTCTAAAGTCTCCCTGTGTTTGCAGCTTTTTAAATCTATAAAATTAATTGGAAGAATTAAGAGGCATTTTCCAGGGGAATGTGCTGCAGTATTTCAGTGTTGGTGCAGTGTATGAAAGGAAAACAGAAAACCTGCTGATTAGAAATTGAGCTAAGTTAGAGATTACTGTCATACTGTCTGTTAATGCTTGGAACTTCATGAGCTTGCTCAGCTCAGCACTGCCCTGGGGAGGCAGTTCTAAAACAGGTCCAGCAGAGGATAAAATACATCTGCCATCAAAGCAGCTGGTTCTTTTCTGTTCGCTTTCTCAGGTCTTTTCCTACATACTGGTGGAAAAACAGTGTAGAAAAAACTGCTTTAAAAACATAATAGATTAAAATGTATCTGAATTGGTCCATCATTGCATTTTAACAGAATGTCAGCAAGCCTTAGTTCAGACACAAGACTAGACAATTCAGATAATGCATGTACTAATAAATCAGTTCATGGCCATGATATTTTCCAAAGGTGATGAGAAGCAGCTGATGTGGTTCTATAGTTCATGCACTAAGGTGAATGAATGGTTGTTGTAAATGGCTCTTAGTGCCAAGTACTGCTGAGTGGGATCTAAAGGTCCCTGATAAAGAGCAAACAGGAAGGATAAGACCTGTTCCACTGAGATGAGACTACTGTGTATTTAGAAATACCGAAGATAGTTTTAATCTGTTTGACAAAGATGTCACTATTTCTCCTGAAAAATGAGCCTGAAAGCCATTGTTACAGTGCTGCAATATCATTCTCTCAAGCGATTTCATCCTACTTCTTTCTCCTTATGGGATAGTGTTGGAGATTTTACCTCATCTGCTGTTTTTTATCTCCATTTCCTTTTTTCCAGGAAAAGTAAATGATTTTGAGACTGGATAGCCTGGGAAGGGTCATCTTCCTAGAAAAAAAACATTATTTGTGAGAGTGCTTTGGTGTATGACTTTACAGCCTCTGCCTGGTCCTTGGGTGCAAGTCAGCAAGAGGGTGATGACAGCTAGGGGTTTTAAAGAGACAGGCATCATGTGCAGATAGCAAAGGGATAAAAATCAGGAGTTCGTTATTTTGGACCTTTTGTCCTGATACATATGTAGAAATGTTTTCTGGCAAAAAACTCTAGAACTCTTTCTGTAGTTCAATGGATTTAATGTACTAAATTAAAATGCAACCTTAGTTCCATAATTTATTTTTATTTCAGATGTTTCTAAAGCCAAAAGGAAGAGAACGCAAAAGAAAAACAGAGAATCTGATAAAGTTTCCAGGAAAAAACAAGAAAGGAGAAGGAAATCCCTTGAAAAGAAAACTGGAAGGCGGCAGCAAGAAGAAAGAAGTGATACTGAGAGCAAATCGGAAAGAAATCACCGACATTTAAGAGAATCTCACAGGAGAGATGATGTTTCAAAGTACCACCACAGAGATGAATCCAACGGCAGAGATGGTTACCACAGCGGAAAGGATAGGAACCACGAAAGAAGTAAGGATCCAGAAAATAAACACAGTAATTCCAAACTAAAGAAAGCAGAGAGAAGAGCTTCTGTGTCCGACGATGAAAATTACAGACACTGGAGCAAAGACGATGGACATCGTAGTAGGAAAAGAGAGAGATCAAAATCCCGTGAGAGAGAGCGCGGCCGTGGCAGCCCGCGGGAGGAGGAGCAGGAGGAGCGCTCCAGGAACGGCTCGGAGAGGCAGCGGGACAAGCACGGCCGCTACCCTGAGCAGCACGGGGAGCTGCAGCACAGGGAGCTGCAGCACAGGGAGCTGCAGCACAGGGAGTTGCAGCACAAGGAGCTGCAGCACAGGGAATTGCAGCACAGGGAGCTGCAGCACAAAGAGCTGCAGCACAGGGAGTCCCGCAGGAGCGACGACAGGCACAGGGAGAACTCCCCGCACCGGCGGAAATGAAGCCAGGCTGCTGTGGCAATCAAGGTGCATTTCCGAGTTGGTAGAACTGCATTTTAAAATCTAGTACTGAAGTTTCTTTGAAAAGAAGATTTTGTACAAAGTGATAGTTTGCATTTGTAAATTTTACCAGACTTTTTCAAATTTTCAGTAACACTTTTTTATAACTGTATCATTGAATCTTTCTGTTATGTTCTTTGTTTGGAAAGACAAAGCTCTTTATTTTGTGAATAAAACAGTAAGATACCAGCAAATTGGGTATTTTGTCACTTAGTTTCAAGTATTTGTAATTGGGAGATTCACAATCTAAAAAACCATTGGTTTTTAACTTCACTTGTTAATTGAAAGCCAGATGCTGAGGCTGGTGTGATAATATATGAATTTCAGACTACAATGTGACTGTTACATGAGAAAACTATAAAATTTTCCAACAGGCATTCTATATCTGCATGTTCTTTCAACCTTGCAAACATGAAAGCCTTTTGACCAAAATCTTCAGGAAATACTCAGTTGATTTTTTATTCTTCAAGACTTAAATTTTGAAAACACAATGTTGCTGTTTTAAATGTCACATGTGAAAGTGTGTCAGCTTGTTCTGTGACTTTTCACAGTGTTTTTTAATATTGTGACATCCTGAGCTAGTTACAGTTGTGACTTTTCTGGAAAAAGGGTTGGTTTGGTTTTTATTTTTTCAGTTATGACTTTGATTTCCGAACCTTAGTCTTCAGTTCTATCCCTACAGCTGGAACATTTAAGGAACTTCTTTACCAGTATATAAAAAAAAAGAAAGCAAAGCAGGAGATGTTTCAAATATTTTTAGATGTTTTGAAGTGCTCAAGTTTTTTGGAAGCAGAGTTCAGAAAAAAACATCCCTCAGTTACTGCACCACTTTGTGATACAAAATTGTTCTATATGGGGTCATGGGATACAACTCACTCCATCTTGATTTCATGAGAAATGAATCAAAATCATCTGGTTAAGACTAATTATTAATAGTTACAGAAAAATTTGCAAAGTCTTCATGATTGAAATAGGAAATAGTGTAGGGGCATGGTCAGTAGGAAAGAGGTGGTAGTTGCAGATTATGCAGTTATTGTTGCTGTATGACATTTGTTTTTTATTTGTGACATGGAACACAATTGCTGGACGAAAGAACTCTCACATTTCATGTGTAAATCATATTTCTTGTATAAAGCATAAGAAATACATTTCAGCTGTTTTATAACAGAAAGTAGAACCATTCCTAAGGGAATAGATCAGTTTTGTGTAAATCTTGTCACAGCATTTTTCTAAGAAAAATGTCTATTTTGGGTTTTTTTCTGTGTTTGACAGAATTTATTTCTGCAACCTTACATGTAAAAATGTTTTCAGTCAAAAACATTTTCATAGAAAATAAATTTATATTGCAGGAAAAAAAATATCTTGTTAAGGCACACAGCTAAAAATACTTAGGTGGCATCATGTGTTGCATGTTTAAACTGTTGGGTTTTTGCCCAACGCACATGTCATTTTCAAAATGATGTGCACATTTTGGCAGTGTGTTAAATCCACAAAAATGTAATTTAAAATAATGTTTTCTAAAGAGAATTGTGCTAATTCTTATGCTTCTTTGATAGCTCTGTATGCACAGTAATTACTGAAAAGAATCTATATTCCATAATGATTTAATTACACAAGCTTACTTACTATATCTACAGTAATACTTCCCTTAATATGGCATGGGTTTAATAGCCTATATTTTATTGACCCATAACAGTTAATGATCCAGTTAAAAAGTTTATTAATGACACCTTTAATAAATGGAATAAATTAAAACAATACATGTGAAAACATGTAACATTTATTCTGCGGTATCCTGTGCCAGCAATCCAGTGTTTTACTATAGAGTATCTGTAAAAGCATGATTCGTTTATAGCCTCTGCCTGATCACTTGAATTTGCTATTTTGTGATGTTTTCCTTGTCATCTGGTGTGTAATTTTATAGACCTAAACCTGTATATTTGCCATTTTGCTTTTCTAGAAGTTAAAATTCACCTGCAGGCTCACCTTATGCCAGTCTGCTCTATAGGCTTGTCCTCCCGCCCTTTATTTATTTTGCTGTATCTTTTACAAGGTAAAGAAGTCAAAATACTCCGTAGTATTTAAAATGAGGGTATTCCAGGAGATGCACAGTGCCGTAGGAATTTCTGGGTTGGTCAGTTCTCAGTGCTGTAGAGCTGAGTGGCACTGGGTGGTCTGGGCTTGCTTTCCTCAGCAGCAGATTGTAGACCCCTCACACTGAAGGAGTGACTCGTGCCTCTTGTCTGTATTTAATACTGGAGCTCTAGGTTGTGATTGGAACAGCAGTTTTCACTGAAAAACTTCCAAGAAGTGGAGGTCCTGTGTATTTTCTTCGCTGTTTTGTTCTGTTCTTAATTCTTGATACTTTAAAACCAAGGTTGAAACGCCTTGGCTTGGGGGATGAGTGGTAGAGGAGTCTTGCAGACTTGACTGTGCATCAGAGATTTGTGGGAAGGAATTTTTGATAACCTGCTCTGATATTGCATGCTTTGAAAGCTTAACTTTAGCTTTCAAATGTGGTTGTAACATCCACATCTATAGATACAGCAAGAGAGGCTGCATCCCTTTTCTAGGAGTGCCTGGCCATGTTCCTGAATTTCCTCACAGTGGTGGTGTGAGGTGTTAACGAGATGAGCTGCTGACGCACCCAGCAAATTCCTGTTGGTGTAGGAATAAATCTTGACTGAAGCATTTGTGGTATTGGTAAGAACTGTAATTCTGCTCTCTAACTATATTTGGAGCAAGGTCTCCCAGTGTGGCAGTTCATATGCTCAAACCTAGAGCATGTTTTTAGAGGAGGAGGGGCGGGGAAGGACAACCACTGTTCAGGCCACATTGATACATAAATCATCAAAATACAGCCTCACAGCATGAAAGCTGATACATTTTGGGAAGAAAACTTTGTTTAAAATACATCTAAATTATCTTCAATGGATGATGTTTTCTAAAGCACTTTCAGTTGCTGTTTAAGCAACATTGCATTCGTTCATCTCCAGTTCTGCATAGGAATGGAGGCATGATTACAGTAATGTTTTTCTGCTTGTGTTATGTTAAATGAATCTTATAGTCAGATGACTTGTATACTGAAATCCAAATTCTGTTTTTGAATATTACTGGTAGTACTAACTAGATGTTGGTACTACAGTATTTTAACCTAAGAGCATGGTGTTCTCTAATTTACTCTAGTTCTGTAATTTACTCTAGTTCTCCAATTTTAGGCTCTAGTAACATAACTTAAATGCAGGGTGTACTTTAAAATAGCTTAGTACATGTCAGACTCCCAAAAGTACATGAGCTAGGATGGGTACTTTAATCTCCAGTAACAATTTAAATGCCTGCCTGCTATTACATTGGTACAGTTTTATAAATATAAAAGAAAAACAGTAGCTTATCCTCATTCTTAAACTGCTTTGAATTGTCTTGCACTGCTGAGGGGAGCAAGCATAAGGCTAATTGTCTCAGACAATCTGAAAAAGCAGGAGTCTATCATGTGAGCAGAGAATTTACTCCAGTTACTCTTAAGAACATACAGATGTAGGGAGACCTGTCCTTCCATTTATTTTCAGTAAGATTAAGTATGTTTTTTAAGATGTTTTAGATTTGTCAAAATATTTTTTTAAGAAACTGTGAAATCAAAATGCAGACTGTAAGGGGGCACTTTTATTAAAACTAGGCAAAAAATGAATTTTAGTTTAAAAAGGCAGAGGCAAAATACAACTTTATAAACTGGAAAAACTTTAGGTCAGTTCAGAAATGTTCTGCTCTTTTTTAGGTTTTCCTTGAGTCTGTAATTTGGCTGAGACTAGTTAGGGATTTTCTTTTCTTGTCTACTCATGAATGTCATCAATCATTTTCCTTTAACTTGAAAAAAAATAGGAGGGAGAGGATGTAGCTTAAAACCATGGTATTGTTGGCCCATAAATGGTTTATTAGGCCATCAAACAGACAAGTCCATAAGAAAATTAACTGCCACCTTTTGACTGTTCAAGGTATTTTTCCCCTTATTTTGTGAAATAAAGGGGGCACCAAAATCTTTTGTGAGGGAGAAAATAAGGTGCAACATTCCTTAAGATGGTGAAGGAAAGAGCAAGGATGTGTAAGAGGATGTAAAGCTCCGTGAGAGAATTTGTTTCCAGTGTCAGGGTGCCCATGACAGGTAAGAAGTGAAGTCAGAGCTGTTCTTGCCAGGGCTACTGGCACAGGTGTCTGGCTGCAATGATAATTGGTTTTCACTTGGTTACTGGTATTGCTCCTTAATTACTTAACCAAAATCTTAACCAAATCACTCTTGAAAACTGGCAATCCCTTTGCTTTTTTTCAATGGCTTACCTATTTCTTTTGAGGCACTTTATGCTCTTTTCACAAATCTCTTATGAAATTTCACATTCTGGGTTTTTGTATTATAAAAAGTTGCATAAGAATTCCTTTGTTACTACCTTACCTAGAATTTGATATAATTTAAAGATTCCTTATATTTTCAAGACCCTATGAATAAGCTCATGGCATCCTATAAAAACTGAAACTTTTCAGCACTTTTTTTTTTTTGCCCTGGAGTAATACTTAAGGTAATTGGAGAAATAGTCATTGATCTTAAAGGGAGAGGAGTAAGATGTTTGATGTAGTCACTTACAGATGCTGCTATTGTATTGCCTGTATTTGTTTTGCTCAGTACTCTCGTTAGGCTTTTCTTCATTTCTTCCTGCTTTACTTAGAGCTTTTCTCATTTTTTCCCTGCCCCTTTTGAATTTCATTATCACATGCAGCGTTAGCCATTTAGAAAAGTATAATGCCATAAATACATCAAAAATTTACTATATATCACTTGCATAATGCATCAAAAAATAGTCTTTAAAGGACAGTTTGGCTGAAGGAACAGTATGTGTCACACCTACAGTAAAGAACAAGTGTGCAGCATGCTGCTTGCCTTCTCCTTACCTCAGAATAATGAGTTACAGGACAATTGGAAGTTTTATGAGGTTAATCAGTCTTCCATTTGTTAACATTCCTTTCTGATTGTCTTCTTTTTGCACTGCCTTTGTTAAGAAGAAGCATTGGTAGAGTTTTGCAGGTTTCTGAATGTAGATAAAGAGGTTTTGTGTCTGCTAGTATGCCCTCAGAGGAGCCACAGTGGTGTAAAATAACAGCAGAAAAAGTAGAGGGATCAACATCCAGCAGAGACTTGAATCCCATAGTCTTGTGTGCCTATAGGGAATGCCAAGAGTTGGTATTTTCTTTCTACATAATCAGCCCAAGTCTTTTCACCATAAACTCTCCTGCTGCAGTTCATGGAGAGCTGTGCACCACTCAGCCTGTTTATCCATCACTTCACTGGGCAGGGCTCTTACAAGAGAGGTGCATCCTACTGTGCCCTGCCTTTCCCCAGCACTGCAAAGTGCAGAGCTGAGCGTGCTGTGCTGCTGCACGTTTTGGTGATTGTTGCTCTACTAATGTTTCAGGTAAGATAAGCAGATGTTCTGGTCGGCTGCTCCTGCACACTGAGGATCCACAATGGCTGCTTGAGCCTTGTCTCATCTGCCATGGCTGCTTTATGATCGTATGTACATATAAACAGAGAACCCCTCAGTGTACAATGAACTGAAAGAGCTTCCCTTGGCTATAGAGAAAGCTCAGAAGGAATAACTTCATTACACCAAATTTCGCTTTTGCAAATACTTCTTTCCTCCTTTCCTTTTTTATCCTCTTCCTGGTTTTCAGTTATTAGTGAATGTCTTCATGGGAAATTGTGATGTGTCCCTGTTTTCATTTGATAAATTAGAAGAAACTGGAGAAAACAGTGTAGTCCAGTAGTGTTGCAGGGAGAAAGATTCCACTGACAGTTAGGTAGCTGACAGCAATCTTGTGTTTTGCTGTTTCAGTCCTAGTGAGAATGCCCTCCTCCCTCTCACACCACCACTCCTGACTGCTAGGAGCTTTAAACACACTTCTTCACAGAAATGCCTGCCAACACATCTCTTGTAAACTGTCCTCCCCATCTCCCAGGTGCCCCTCCTAAAAGAAAAGATGGTCACATCTTTCTATTCCCTTTTAAAAATGGCATTTCATGACCCAGTTCTGGTGTCTGTATGTACACCTTGCGAAGAAGGCTTAAGTAGCTGATAGGGTTCAAGTGGCCTTCTCGTGGTCTGTGTGTTAATCTGTGTTCACAGGTCTCAGGGGAGATTTATAGTGGACAGAAAGTTCTGTTAATTTTTGGGTTGAAATAGGCAATTGAAAAGTTGGTGTATTAGATCATATTCATCTTAATAATGTCAGACTGCTGGGGGTGCAGCCAGCCTTTGTGGCTTCCCATGAGGAAGGAAGACTTAAGTCATGACTGCCTGGAATGGAATGCACTCTTTTAATGAATATGCTTCCTTTGTTCAGGTCCTGAGGATGGATTTCTGTTCCATAGGCTCTGGTTCTTTGATTAGATTCACAAGGTCTGTTCTGCCATACACTTCATTATGAGTCATCAGAAATGGGACATGAAGGTGCTTAAGAAAAAATTGAAGCCAAGTGACTTAATCAGTGATTGAAATGAGAAACTGAAAATGCACATTTAGGAAAAATAAAGTCTTTGCAATTCTATTCCTTCCTGTCCTCTGTTGTCTGCACAGAAAAAACCCTTGTTAGCCCTCTTGTTGAAAGAGAGACGGTGCATCAGGCTGTTTTGGTCACTGTGCTTGTTTGAACTGGGAATTCCTTGAGATGTCACCCCCAAGTGCTCTGCAGCCCATCATTTTCTGCAGACTGTGTGCAT